TTTCAGACAGTCTCAACTGATAGACAGACACATCGAGCTGCTTTTCCTGCTTCAGTTTTTACTCCTCCTCCTCTCGCCAACGTCACCCTGACAATTACAAATAGGTCTCTCACAAACCATACCTGTCAATCTTTTTAATTGCTTTGTTTTCTTTTTTTTTTTTTCCCCGGAGCTAAACAATATGACACAAAAAAGAAATCTTAATACAGCACAACATAAAAGATAGCACTTTGGAGAAAGACATCGAGGGGTTTGTTGTTGTAATCCACTGGCTGATACTGGGTAAAACCATGTGTTCCAAGCCAAGTTATAAGTAGACACTCGCAGATTTTTAAACCTGTTAGTACCCCCCCCCCAGAGCACACACCTTGTACATTCATACAACGCACCCACGTGGACATAAACCACCCTTGAATGAAGAATGTCCTACATTTGAGATTTTAAAAAAAGATACCTGTGTCACCTTTGCAATCTTCGTTTGGGGGTTACATTTAATTGGGGAGGGGCATCGGTGGCTTTTATATTTTTGTAATTATGGCAAGTAGAAAGCAAAAGGGTTTTTTTTTAAGTAAAATGTATACCTTTAATGAAAAATTCAAGATGGACTTAGCTCATCACACAAAAATGTAGACAATATTTAATGTGGTCCCTCTATGAAAAGTGAATTGATTATTTGGTCAATACAGACAATTAGGGCGAAAATTGACACGCCGCAGCTGCAGCTCTCTCTGGCGGGGTTATAAAACGAGGTCTTCCTGCATCATTGCAACATCTCCAATTCAATTAAGTCCCTCGGCATCCCCACCAAGAAGTTTAAGATGTTTATGTGCTCTGGGAATTCGGCCCTCTGGTTTCTAATATGTGTGTTCTCTCCCAAAGGGAAACCTGTAACTGTCTTGCAGAAGCCGCTTAAAACATTCATGGAAAAACACGAAATCTAGGCCAAAATAAAGAAAACTGTTTAGTTCGTGCAACTTGAATGGGACTAACAGGGGTTCCGGCGCAGCAAGGCGTTCCGGGGACGGGGGGCCAGGAGCCTGGGGCGCAGGGTGTGCTGAGCACCCCCACCCCCGCCGCCGCGGCCCCCAGTTCGGCGTCCGTGCACGCTCACCCGCGGCGGGGGCTCCCTGCGCGGCCCGGGGCCCCGGCCGTGCCCCGCCGCCCCGGCCGTGCTCGGGGTTGATTCGTACCACCTTGCAAGGAAGTGAACGCTTCGCACGGGAAGGGGAGGCGCCTGTGCCGGCCGCCGGCCGCCGCGCCTCCGAGAATGCCCGGGGCTGCCGCCGGCTCGGGACCGCGGCAATCGCGGGACGCACGGGTCCCTTCGGCGCCCCCCTCACCCTTTAGAGGAGTCAAATCCGGCTTTTAGAGCGTGGGGAGGGTGGGGATATCCGGTGCCTCCCCGGCGCCCGGAGGAAGGGGGAGGGCGGAGAGGCTCCTTGGCCAGTCTGCGCCGAGCAGATTCAAACCAAAACAAAAAGATTAAAGGAGCAGCTACCGGGGTGGCGGCAGTCCGCGGCCAGGACCCCGGGGGTGGCGCGTCCGGGAACCGCGGGGGCTGCGTGGACTCCCGGAGCTGCGCGCGGGAGGGGGGAGCGGGCGCCAGGCGTGGAGGGGAAAGGGGGGCGCCGAGGGGAGGGCGCAGGCCGGAGGAGGGGCGGGCCCTCCGGCTCCGCCCGCCCGCCAGCGCGGAGCGGAGCCTAGCTGCCCCGGCCGGTCGCGACCTTTGCCTGCGGCGGCGCAGAAAGCGGGCGGAGGCGCGGGTCATGCTGCGGTTGGCGTCCGCCGGGGCCCGAACCATCGTGGCCAGTCGTACGCCCGCCACTTCCTGGACTTCCCGGGCTCCGCCATCGCCCGCGCCATGCAGAAGCTGGTGGTGACTCGGCTGAGCCCGGACTTCCGCGAGGCAGTCACCCTGCTCCGGGACTGCCCGGTGCCACTCCCGGGGGACGGAGACCTCCTCGTCCGAAACCGGTGAGCCCGGCGCGCGCGCTCGCCCCGGCCTCGCCTCTCCCGGGCCGTCCCGGCCGCCTGCGTCCCCGCGCCCCGCGCTCTCGGGCGCAAAGCCTGACTTTGCGAGATCTCGGGAAGTTGAACCCGCCGCCATCTGGTGAAGGCGAATGTAATGAGGCTGTTGCTGGTGTGAATATCCGATGCCACTGAACGTCCTCATAACTGGGGGTTATTTTAATTTGGGATTCCCCTCCCCTCCACCAGCCCTCCCTCCGCCCCCTCCCGCTCCCGAAATAAAACCGACGGGACCCAGGAGCGGAGGCTTCCCGCCGGCCCACCCACGCGCACCCAGGGCTCCCGCGTTTCCATAATCCTTAGGGTGGAGCAGGAGCAGCCTGGACACCAACTGCGACGTTTCGGTAACGTGCCTCGGAGGGAGGAGGCCGCGGACCCGGCTGGCGTCTCCTGTCCGCTCCAGGTGGGCAGTCACCTCGCAGTGGCGGCGCCTGTCTCTGAGTGTGTCGGTGTGCCCCTGTCGTCCGTGTGGTCAGTGCTGTGCGACTGTCGTGTGTGCCCCGGAGTGTACCGACCGGCGTGCGGCGCGCGTCCCCGGCGGCTGGGCCAGGGCGGGGGGGGCATGGCTTCATCGGCCCGCACGGTCTGCAGACCTTCGGGGACCCTGGGGTCGCGGCCCGACCTCTGCCTTTTCCGCCCGTCCACTCCCCACCCTAACGTGTTTCCGCCTCGCTGATCTCTAGCAACTGGTGGAGCAACAGGAAGGAACGGGACCTCACGGTGGGAGCCAGGCCCGCGGGTCTCTCCCGGCGGGTCCGCTCGCTGGCTGCCGGACTTGGAGGCGGGGTGTGCCCGGTTCCTCCATCTCTTTCGCAAGAGCAGGACTCCCCCGCCTGCCGGGTCCAGTCCCCAATCCGACGGGTTCCAGGGTTGCACGCTCCACGTTGCATAACACTCCGAAGGGAGGAGAAAGTCCTGATGGTAACTACGTTGTAAATTGTGCGCCAGGACGTCCTCTCAGTCCCCGGCGAGGACGGAGGGACGGGGTGTGCTCCGCGCGAGCAGCTGGATGCAACGTTGAGTCGGGCCATTTTGGAGAGTCACGTCAGCCTCCCAAATAAGACTGCAAAACTGCGGAATTCTGACCACGATATAAAACTTTTGGAAGGTGGTTGGAAACGTAAACATTTAGTGAGCCGGAGGAGGGGGTGGGGGTGAGGGTGAGTCGAAGCTGGGAGGAGGCGCTTTTTTAAAGGGCGGGAGGCGCGCGTCCGTTTAGAAGTCTGCCGGAGTGGAAGCGGGGCTCTGCTTTGTGGGGTGAGATGCTGCGGCCACCCAGGACACGGGTCCTGCCCAGTTAGACAGGGGGCTTGTGTGAGTCACGCGGAACAGCAGAGACGGACACACGAGTGATTTGCTGGAAGCGGAGATGAGCCCCCAGGCTAAAAAGCCTCCAAACAGACTTTAACAGGCAAAAAGTTTCATAGTCTTGGGTTTCCTTTTTGTGGCGCACACAAGGGCTTGAGTAAGATCCCTTTTAGAAACGGGGTCCGGGGTGGGGAGGAGGCCACTGAGCCTCCCTGGCAGGGAAGGTGCGGGGTCAGCGCAGGACCCGCTGTGGCGAGGTGGGACCGCAGCCCGAGCCCTTGGCGGAGGCAGCCGCTGCCCGCAGCGCAGGCTCTCCCGGCCTCTCCCGGCCCCGTGTGCATGCACTTGTGGGGCGTTCCTCCTCCTGAGACTCCTCTCCACTCGCGCTCACGGTCACCCCTCGCTGTCCCCATCCCTGCTGGGTGCCAGGGCGCCGCCAGGCACTGCCTCACGGGCAGGAGTCCCTGGATTCTCGGGCCAGAGCTCTGGACCACCGGCTCTCCCTCGCGGAGTTCGCCGTCGCGGTGGGAGTTCCTCAGTTTGGGCTGCTTTAAGAGCGGTGCCTTTCCCCTCCATCTATGCCCAGAATCCCTTTCATATAAGTCGTGAGTACACTGATATGCACACCTTGACCTCTCCCTTCTACCTTGAAGCCGGCGACAGAAGGAGAATGCAGGCAGCTCTCTGCCTGTTGGGGGTGGGGGGGAGACCTCAGCCTCCCTCTTCCCTGCTCTGCTGGTGACTCTGCTCCGACCCCCCACTGCGGAGAGACCCTTTCTTCTCACAGCCGAGGTCAGTGGAGGTGGCATCCCCCCCCCCAACAGAGAGGCTTCATAATTCACTGCAGGTTCGTCCATCTTCCTTCTAGACCAAATGTCCCCAGAACAGCGTTAATTGCATGAAAATGTTAGGCAAGAGCTGCTCCTTTTTATCAGGGTGAAGCCTGCTCTGGAATGAATGGATTCGGCCCAAATGTACTTATTTGGAAAGGTGTGGAGGTCCGACTTTTCTTCCCCTTGCAACCCTGTGTAGGTCTCATACCCCCTCGGCAGAAAATAGAGAGTCTTTATTCATGGGGGTGGGGGGTGGGGGAAGTGCTTTTAAGCGCTGGGAGGATCAGGATAATCTAGGTTACCACTCAGGAAAGGCGAGAAGGGGCGCGGGAGGGTCCCCCTGGAACCCACTGTGGAGCCTCCTCCTCCAGTTCTCACCTTCCTGCTTCTCACCTCCGAGGACAGCCGCAGGGTCCCCTGGACGCCGCATCTCCTGGAAGAAAGAGTAACACGCCCTGCGGGGAAGTCCGTTGGAGTGCTATTTTTAGCTTTTTTTTTTTTTTGAGCCGTAGTGACACATTATTCCATTTCCAAATATTTCTAACGATTTCCTGCCCCTGTGTGAGACAATGGAGCCCCGAGTTTGCGGGAGGAAGCCGAGAAGGGGGTGGGGACAGCGTTGGGGTGAAGGGTTTGTTGCCCACCGGAGGGGACCTGGGTTTCTGCGCACTCTCCAGGCCCGTGGTTTTTCTTTTTCTCTTCTTCCTCCCCTTCTTCTTTATTTGGTATTTTTTTTTAAATGAGAGTCTGGTTTGAACGACTTTGGACTCTGTCTCCCAGCACCGAAGGCGACCGGAGTCTTTGATTTCGGTTTTGGTGGGAGAGGGGGCG